GGTGGGACAAAGCCACCTCCCCATGCCCTGGCTGTGCGGCGCTGTGGACTGCACCCGGGATTTTGTGAACGTTAAACAAGTACTCTAAACAGCTACTTCCCCAGCTCTACTTTCTAATTTACTATGCAGCCAAGGATGGCCTTGAGCTCCTAAGTCCTGTGACTCTATCTCCTAAGGATTACAGGCCTGCACCACCACGCCTGGCTTTGGATGGTTGATTTCAAGGGACAGAAACCCAGGCAAACAAGAATTTATCAGCGTGTACCACTACAGTCCAGCGGGAGGCTAAAGCCTCAGGCATAGCTGGATCCAGGAGTTCCATGGTATTCTCAGGAAATCATCTACTCCCTTGTCCTTACTCTGCCACCCGTGGATTTGATGGTTCCCTCCCTCATGGCTGTATCTCCGGGACATAGGACCATGCCTGGCCCACAGTCCAGGCAGCTGTGGCAACTCTGGCCTCACTCCTCCAAGCTTTACAAGCCCAACAAAAACCCCTCTTCTTCTCAGCCATTGATCAAAACTCTAGTCTGGACTTCCAGATGCCTGGTGGGAAGTGTGACCACCCCTGAGGTGGTCACGGAGCCCCAGGACCCCACTCCTTTCACATGGGCACGGCACTCTGCCGCACCCTCAAGGTTCTGAAATGAGAAACGAGGGCTCCTCCAGCTCCACCTGCATGGCAGGCCGAGTGCTAGGCCTGAGTTGCCTCTCTACCTCCGCCTGAAGCCTGGTGACTGGAGGATGGACAGGTCTGGGGCACCGGTGGTCTGCAGTCAACCGTGGACCTCATGGCTGAGCAGCAGGGTCCACAGTGAGAGGAAGGGATGGGAGAGCCTGGGGCCCAGGCACAGAGCAGGGCACCCAACACACCAGCCCCAGGGCCAGCCTTTATTGGAAGTGCTGGGTGGAGGCAGTGGTCCTAAGGAGGGCCGTGGAATCTCTACCTAAGGAAGCAAAGGAAGGGGCCCCAGTCCCAGGCTGTAGCTGCCTCTTCATACTCAGAATGGGCCTTTCAGTTCCACTTGGGCCCTGCTGAGCACAGGGGGAGGGGAAATAAGAAGAGAAGAGAAAGCAGATCCCCGTCCCCACAGCAGGCTTGCGCTGGGTTTGCAAAAACTAACAGGGATTCTGTCCCCTGCCCACTGTCCTGGCATCAGGAACTGGCCTCAGGCTGGCCGGAGGCAGGCTCCAAGGTACTCAGGCTGGTTGACACTCAGAGACGGTGGGTAGCTGGCCCTAAGCCACGCAGCAGGCTGGTGGTGGGTCTTAGCCTGACTCAGAAGGAGGAAGCCAAGTCTTGACCCCACCATCCTGTACCTTTGCTGCTAAACGCTCAGGGCTGGGGTACAGCAAGGGGGTTTCCCAGCTTGGTTTCCCAGCAGGCAGGCAGTCCAAGGCTGGAAGCCTCATCCGAGGTCCAGCAGCAGCAGGCAACTGCTGGTAGGTGGTGACTCAGGCTTCCAGCTCCTGCCTTTGTCCCACAGGCTTCCTCGTCCCTCTAGACATGGCGGGGCAGTCAAAGGGCATCCTGAGACCCCGGGATCTAAGAAGCACCAAGAGTACTGAGGCAGTCCTTCCTGGTGTCTACATTCAGTTTATGCTGCTGCAGAACTGACCGCGTAATTGTGATCTGGACTAAGAAAAGGAAGCACGTAGAGGCTGTCCCTCAGTGGGATGAGGGGCTGCAGTGTTTTTGCTAGTGGAATGCCCAGGTACCTGGAGTAGAGATGGGTGGAAGATGCCTGGCGTTATGGTGATACTCCTGGCCACTCCGACGACCACCGTGAGCTGTGTCGAGAGGGTGATATTCAGACAGAGGCCTGGGCTTGTTGAGGTGGATAAATACGAGGAAATCTGGGGAGGGCCAGAGGAACGGGGCTGGGGGTGTCCCAGGCTTGCTCAGTGCCAGCCTGACAGGCAGCAGCATGGGCACTAGCCTTGTCCTCATCGGCTGTTCACTAGCGCCATCTCATGGCTGCAGGCTCTCACTGCAGGGACGACTCCAGTCCCTGGAGGAACCACAACCATTTAGAGGTGTGACCCAAGCCTTGCCCCAGGACCAGCACTCCATCTCCCCTTGGGCCTTCAAAGGGCCTGACTGACCCTGGGCCACAGGAGACTGTCCTGGGGAAGAAGGCCAGATCACCTAGCCTGCTTGGTTGGATCTCCTGGCACACACCCAAATAAACCAAAGATGCCCAATTTGTACACGGCCGGCCAAGTGTTTACCTGAAGTTCAATCCTGATCCCACTTTGGTTCAAAGTTTCAGCTCCCTCTAGCCCCCCAGTCCTGTAACTGGTGCTTGGGATAAGCCAGTGCACCGATGGCCTCTATGTTCTAGAAGCCCCCTCTACAAGTAACAGAGTAAGAAGAGTCCTGTCCATGGTATTTCAGCATGCAGGTGGCAACTGTGACATTCTAGCCAGCAGCTGAGAGGCAGATGGGGGGGGGGCAGAGCAGGAGATAAGCCCTGTCCCCGCTCACCAGCCCGACAGCCTGGCGTTCATCCCCTGCACTGCCCTACCCCACCCACTGGCCTCGGTGGCTCCCCACCAAAGCCCATCTTCAGGCCACCCTCCCTGAAGAGCAGTGAGGAGTCATCTCCATCCTCCAGCCATTCCAGCAGCTCCAAAGCCTCATTTCTGTGCCCATCACCACACTGGCTCGCATGAACCTTTGTGTAGAAGTGATTGTGACTGCTAATAGGGGCACGCGGGGGGGGAGCTGATGGCATACAGAGGGTGCTCAATAAAGGCTTGTGGCAAAGAGGACATGTGGAAAGGGAAGAGTAAGAAGTAGCTGGGTAAGCAAGTGCCTGAGTGAATTGCCATCTCAAGAGAGGTACAGACGGGGATGTCAGCAGATGACCCACCAAATGAATGGAGAATGGAGGATGGGCACGGGAGTATAGGATCAGAGAAGTGAATGGATTCCTGGTGGCTCAGGTGTTACAGCTAAGGGAAAGACCGGGAACTGCAATAACCCATATCTGCCCATTTAACAGATGAGAACACTAAGGGAGAGCTGGGTGGAAAGGCATCCGCTGGGGCTGGGGGCTGGGTCTGCTCATGCCCCATCCCTCTTTCTGTACCCTTGTCCCCTCCTCCCATGGCTGGAGACAGTTCTGGGAAGGATGCCTTTTGTTTAGCTCTGTGCTCCTCCAGGCTGTTTCCGCCAGGCTAAGGTGTGGGGGTGGCAGGGAGGTGCCCCCCAAGGGCTATTTCAGTCAGAGCCAGCAGGGTCAGGAAACAGAGGAAGCTGTCCAAAGTCAGGCCAGAGATGGGACAGCGTGACTGAAGACAGGAGCATGGGCAGCACTGTGTCTGAGTGTCTTTTGCCCCAACAAATTTGGTACCATTGACCTATGATGGTGAGTATCTGTGTCTTGAGGAGATGAGCCAGTATGGGTGGGACGGGGTGGTTGGACACCTTGGCAAGCTTGGTGGGGTCTGTTCAGCTGGGGACTCAAAGGAGGGAAGAGATATGCTCATGTGTTTGGGGGATGCTTAATTCTGAGCATGGGGTGCTTATTTCTTTTGTTTGTTTGTTTTTTGTTTTTTCTAGACAGGGTTCCTCTGTGGCTTTGGAGGCTGTCCTGGAACTCACTCTTGTAGACCAGGCTGGCCTCGAACTCAGAGAGATCCGCCTGTCTCTGCCTCCCGAGTGCTGGGATTAAAGGCATGTGCCACCAACGCCCGGCTTGGGGTGCTTATTTCTTAGATTGAGGGTGCTTAGGTTATGGCTAACAGAGGTGGACCTGGAGCACATCTGTGAAAAGATCAGCAGAACTGGACAGGTCAGAGAGGATGGTAGGTCTCAGTTGCAGTGTTGGAAACAGGGTGATGAGTGAGGAAGAGTAGGAATGAGGCGACCTTCAAACAAAGCCAGAGGGCTGGATGGGAGCCTTAAACACCAGGGGACGAGTTTAGGTGTTTCTCCGAGAGCAGAGGAACCTCTCAAAGGTTCCTACTACAGGCAGCAAAGCTGGAGTCCAGAAAGAAGCTGTGATTTGGAGTAGTCTGGGACTTAGGGCACAGGAGTAGATGGCAGCCAATACCAGCTGCTGCTTATAGTTGGGGTCCAGGAACCCCTCCCTCTAGACACCCCCTGAAGGAGTGAGAACACTCAGCTCCCTTGGTCCTCAGAGACAGGGGAGTATCATCAGGGGAGCAGATGATGCCTGAGGTCTACTCAAAGGTCAAAGGTCCTTTGCTGCAACTCTTGCTTCTTCCAAAGGGGGTAGCATCTTAGGAGTCTCCCCAGAGTGTTGGAGAAACAAAAGGCCACTACAGTTTCATCCATGTGTGGCCAAAGGCTTTCTCGGGGAGTGTGGTCAGAGAGCCACAGGCCTCCCTAGCAAAGGACAGGGGACACAGCCCCTTCAGCCCATGCCTGTCCCACCCTGTCCCCACTTGGGGTGTCCTTCCATCCTGCTCTATTGATGAAAGCCCTCCTCGGCTACCAGGACCAGCATTCTTCAGGGAAGGCTTTTTATTTGTTTGTTTGTTTATCATTTACCTCTAGTTTCCATCTCTGTAATGCTTGGCTTCCCCTTGAGAACTGGAGTTTCACTCTGGCCACCAGAAACGACCTCTGTCTTTTTGTTGTTGCTGTTGTTTATTTTTATGCTTTTTGTGTGTTTTGCCTGTTTGTATGTCTGTGTGAGGGTGCCAGATCCCCTGGAACTGGAGTCACAGACCGTTGTGAGCTGCATGCGGGTGCTGGGAATTGAACCGGGATCCTCTAGAACAGCAGCCAGTGCTCTTAACCGCTGAGCCATCTGCATGTGTCCTTGTGCATGCTCACGTGTGTGCAAACACCAGAGGCATTGGATCCTTTGAAGCTGGAGTTGCAGACCCTCCTGACTTGGGTACTAGAGCAGTGACTGCCCTAGCCTCCTCCCACACACCTCATCCCCACAACCCCACCTCCATCCCCTAAGGTTGACTGGAAGAAAGTTTCCTGGAGCCCCTGAGTCACCTCTCCTGTTCTACAGATAGGCTGTGACTAAAGAAGATGGCTTTGGAAGGTGGAATTCAGGCTGAGGACGCTGGCGTTTCCCTCAGTGAGCTCTCCATGTATGCAATGTCCACAGGGGTAAACTAGAGCCTCCAGAGCTCAGTCCTGGTGCCAAGCTGCCTTGAAGACTACTTCCTCATAAAAGGTCTTCCATCTGCATGAGACAGGTACCACATCCCTACCTGCCAGGGAGCTCGGGAAAAGTGCTGCGTGTGCTTCTAACCTAATGACAATATTCCCTTATTCCTCCGATAGGGAGAGTGAGGAGGTAAATCCCTACCCCAAGATCATGCTGGCAGCAAACAGCATAGCTGTGATTTGAACCCAAGCCCATTAACCCCCTCTCACAGAAGAGACAATTGACTAGGGTTGTGAGGGATGAATAGAAGTTCACTGGGGAAAGCTGAGAGGAAAATAAATACTAAAGAAAGAAACTGACTTTGATTTCTCTCAAGCTTGAGCTTTATTGGAGTACACACTTCCATGACATGAGATTTGTATGGATCTTTACGGGATGATGAGCCTGAAGGGCAACAGAGTTAAGGACTTATTTGTTCAGACAGTGAGCGTGCCACTGACAGGCTGTGTATTTCTTCCCCAGATTCCCCAAGCATAGGAAAAGCAGTTGGGCAGTTATGGATCAGGACAATGGCACCACCCAGGCACCAGGCTTGCCGCCCACCACGTGCGTCTACCGTGAGGATTTCAAGCGACTGCTGCTGACCCCGGTATACTCAGTGGTGCTGGTGGTCGGCCTGCCTCTGAACATTTGTGTCATCGCCCAGATCTGCGCGTCCCGCCGGACCCTGACCCGGTCAGCCGTGTACACCCTGAACCTGGCACTGGCAGACCTACTGTACGCATGCTCACTGCCCCTGCTCATCTATAACTATGCCAGAGGGGACCACTGGCCCTTCGGAGACTTGGCCTGCCGCCTCGTGCGCTTCCTCTTCTATGCCAACCTACACGGTAGCATCCTGTTCCTCACCTGCATTAGCTTCCAGCGCTACCTGGGTATCTGCCATCCTCTGGCACCCTGGCACAAGCGTGGGGGTCGCCGTGCTGCCTGGGTGGTATGTGGAGCCGTGTGGCTCGCTGTGATAGCTCAGTGTCTGCCCACAGCAATCTTTGCTGCCACGGGCATCCAGCGCAACCGCACTGTCTGCTACGACCTGAGCCCACCCATTCTGTCCGCTCGCTACCTGCCCTATGGCATGGCTCTCACGGTCATCGGCTTCTTGCTGCCCTTCACAGCTTTACTGGCCTGCTACTGTCGCATGGCCCGCCGCCTGTGCCGCCAGGATGGCCCAGCAGGACCTGTGGCCCAAGAGCGGCGCAGCAAGGCGGCCCGTATGGCCGTGGTGGTGGCAGCTGTCTTCGCCATCAGCTTCCTGCCTTTCCACATCACCAAGACAGCCTACTTAGCCGTGCGGTCCACACCCGGTGTCTCCTGCCCTGTGCTGGAGACCTTCGCTGCGGCCTACAAAGGCACCCGGCCCTTTGCCAGTGCCAACAGTGTACTGGACCCCATCCTGTTTTACTTCACACAGCAGAAGTTCCGGCGGCAGCCCCATGAGCTCCTGCAGAAGCTCACAGCCAAGTGGCAGAGGCAGAGAGTCTGAGGTCTCAGGGCAGACCCTGGGGCATTGGTAGCTGTGTATTTGCCATGGGGGTCATGGTGCCAGAAGCTTCCCCCACAACTCCAAACCACACAGAGAAGAAAAACTTGGTTCAACAGGCCTGGGCCTGGCCCTCAAGAAGTACTATGCCAACCACAAAAGCTAAGACTGGTCAATTCATGCTTGTTATCCCAGAACTCAGGATGTTGTGATAAGAGGGTAACAAGCTCCTGGCCAGCCTGGTCTACGTGGTAAAACACTGTCTCAGTGTTACAGCTCAGTAGCACATGCCTAGAGTGTGCTAGCCCCTGGGCTCAATCCCTAACACTGTGAAATCCATTCTTGTTTACAACGTGGAGGGGACTGCTGGTGGGCGATCATGAACGTGGAGGCAAAGTCTTGTTCCCTGGGACCCACTTCTTACAAGGAGTAAGAAGCTGAGGGAAGCTCAGGGTCCCATTCATCTGCCAAGACTTTTGCATAAGGGAGATAAATAAATGCGATTTTGTGGGTTTTGTTGTTTTGCTTTTGTTTGTTTTTAGGTCATGCCCCCATCCCCAGGCGAAATGAGCCCTTTAGTCAGATTTCATCACCCCCTGGGTAAGGCCAAGCAGTGATTTAATTGGGATAGGGATCAAGATGTAGGTTGGAACCTGAAGGGAACTAAGAACCATGGGTTGGAAATACCCAAGAGGCACCCCTCCCCCACGATAGGGTTTCTCTGTGTAGCCTTGTAGACTGGGCTGGCCTCCCAGAAGGCATCTTAAACATGACTGATAGTCTGGGAGGGTCAGCCCCAATGTGACTTGAGGCTGAGGGAGAGAACAGACATATCATACACTAGAAAACCCAGATTACCCCAAACCATGGCAGGGATATTCTGGCTTTCACAGTGCCTTCTAATGTTGAACCCTTACACACTTTGGTCACAAACGCCTTTGTCCATGAGTTCCAAAGTTATGAGAAAGTTCATTAATACTGCCAATACCTGAACAGCCATCAAGACAATGGATCAGGGCTGGAGAGATGGCTCAGGGGTTAAGAGCACTCACTGCCTGTTCTTCCCAAGATCCTGGGTTCAATTCCCTGCAGCCACATGGTGGCTCACAACCATCTGTAGTGAAGTCTGGTGCCCTCTTCTGGCCTGCAGGGATGCAAGCAGGCAGAACACTGTATACATAAATAAATCTTTAAAAAAAAAAACAACCAATGGATCAGAATAGCTCATGCATGTAGAATTAATTATACCAACAGGCAACACTTAAACCTTGTCAGTATAACATTAAGGAACACGTCTCTCCAGTTTATCTCTAGGCAATGTCCTATCTATGACATTATAAAGAACAATGGCTCATAGCATGTCGGAGGCCAGTTCAGGCTACAGATGTAGTTGGACTACGACACTTTGTTTCTTTGCCTTTTTCCCCCAATTTTTAAAATTATGGTTTTTTATTTATTGTGTGTGCGGTGATGAGAAGATGACTTCCAGGACCTGGCTCTCTTCTAAGACATGAGTTCCAGGGATCAAACTCAGGAGGTCAGGCTTGGCAACAAGTGCTATTTCAAAACACTGAAGAATTCCAGAAGTCTATTCACTTGAGGGACTGAGGCAGAAGGATTGAGATCAAGGCCTGACTAGATTACAGAATGAGTTTGGGGCCAGCTTGAGTAACTTATTGGAGCCCTGTCTCAAAAGAAAAAAAAAAAGAGGGAGAAGATATGTGCCAGGGATATAGTTCAGTGGCATAGAACTTGTCTAGTTTGTATGAGGTCCAGAGTCTAGCAAAACATACACATACACACACACACACACACAGAGAGAAAGAGAGAGAGAGAGAGAGAGAGAGAGAGAGAGAGAGAGAGAGAGAGAGAGAGAGAGAGAACAAATGAAACTCAGAGGCATCCAGGTGGGGCATGATGGTGTATGCCTTTAATCCCAGCATTTGGGAGGCACAGGCAGGCAGATCTCTGTGAGGCCAGCCTGGTCTATATTGCAAATTCCAGGCCAGTCAGATCTATACAATGAGAGTCTGTTTAAAAAGAGGGAACTGGAGAGATGGCTCAGTGGTTAAGAGCACTGGTTGCTCTTCCAGAGGATCAAGGTTCAATTCCCAGCACCCACGTGGTGGTTCACACCTGTCTGTAACTCCAGTCCCAGGGCTCCTGATGCCCTCACACAGGTGTACACGCAGGCAAAACACTTAAAAATAAACAAATCATTTAAAAATAAACAAAGAAACTAAACAAAAAAATCTGATTCATGCCTGTTATGATCCTCAGAAATCCAGAGGCTAAGGCAGAAGGACAGGAAGCTGAGGCCAGCTTGGGTTATATATAATAAGACCCTGTCTTAAACAAAAGCAACAACAAAACCAACATCAACAAAAATAGTTTGAGGACTGTGTACATGCAATAAAATCAAATAAGACAAAGCTAGGAGTTAGAGAGATAGCTTACCAGTTAAGAGCACTTACTGCTCTTGTAGAGGTCAGGTTCGGTTCCCAGTACCTACATGACAGCTCATAAGTGAACCTCTCTTTTGGCCTCCTCAGGCAGTAGTCACATTCATGGTGCACATACATACATGCAAAACACACACACACACACACAGTAACTCTTAAAGAAAAAAAGCCAAGTACAATGATGCATGCAATCCTAACACCTGGTGGGGGGGAGAGGCAGGAGGATCAGGAGTTCAAGGTTATCCTCAGTTTGAGGCTGAGATGGATTACAAGAGATCCCACAGGGACTGGAGAGAGAGGGGAGAGAGAAAGGAGACAGAAGGAAAGAGAGGGGAAGGGAGATGGAGTGGAGAGGGAGAGAGAGAGAGAGAGAGGGAGGGAGAGAAAGAGAGAGAGAGAGACAGAGAGACAGAGAGACAGAGAGTATATGAATGCTGATTAGCACAGATCTGAGATGGATCTGAGGTTGTCCCTCAGTGGTGGGACACAGGAATGAGACAGAAGTTACTATAAAGGTGCTGATTTTTGTTTTATTTGTTTTTATTTTTGTAAGAGTCAACCAAGCAACTGATGAGAGTGTAAAGTGAGCAAGAGATGCTAATTAATGAAATCCTGTGCACCCAAGGTCTATCTAATGTGGGGGTGTAGGGAGTGTCCCAGAGATTCTGTTTGACTTTGGAAAGCAGTTGGAAGCAAGATCTCCCCTTCAAATAGCTCCTTACCTGGGACACATGGTTCTACGAAGTTCCAAGGTCCATCCTGCACATGACCTTGACCTCGAAACCCTTCCATAGTGGTTTTTCCCAAGGACTTCTACAGCTCTGACTTCACAGGGTTACCTGCTGAGTGGGCAGGCCAGTCATCAGTCATGCTCTTCATTCTTCACAGATGAGAAGCCTGGGGCTCATAGACACCCACATAGCATCTCACAACTTTCTGTAACTCCAGCTCCAAGTGATCCCAGACACATACGTGCAGGCAAAAACACCCTTACACATAAAGCAAAATAAAAATAAAAAGAGTCCAGAGCGAGCTGCCACTCTGCCTAGCTGAGGTCTTCACAAGGGGAGTCAGAGGCCAGACTAGCACACTTCAGCCACGTAAGGTAGCAGGGCCCATGACTTGAGCCTCCATTGCTCTCCATCAATTGCCCATTCGTAATATGGGATAAAGACCTGTCTTAGAAGTGACATGAAGGCAACATTTAATAGTTGGTAGACCTGTTGCTGAGCGGTAGAGAAGAAACTACCAAGCATGCCCAAAGCCCTAGGTTTAATCCCAGTACAACAAAAGAAAAGAACACCATAGGAGCCATCATTATAGAGGGAAACAGTGACTCCTTACACACCTAAACTTGATTACGAGAACGTGAACCCACTCCTCACTTTTCAGACAAGGCAGCTGATAAAATGGGGTCAGTGACTGGCAGGGGGCTGATCTCAGCTCAGAAGGGCGAGTTCCACACCTGGAGACTTCCTACAAACTAATGGGTGATCCAGAAGGAAGAGAAATAGCGTCTTAGCCTGGGGCTTGTGTGAGCAGCAAGTGGGCCTGGGGTCCTGCTAGAGGTTGCTTCCCTTCTCCTGCCTGCATCCAGCATTCTGCTGCCTCCCCATGTCCAGTTACTGGCACTGAGTGTCTTCTGGACCCATACGGCCCTGGGGTTGGTTAGGTATGAGGTGAGCATTGGAGGAATGGGACCTACACATAACAGAGCTGAAGGACTTTGTCCTCTGTTCCCAAGGAGGCTGAGCTCTGCCCGTGGTCCAGAGATGCAGGGCTGCTGGGGACAGACCCTCCTTCTTCATCAAGATCTGATGCCAGGGAAAGTTGTCTGATGCCAGGGAAAGCTGACTGAAGACCTGAAGTCTGAATCTGAGTCGTACAATTGAGCTGCCCTTTCCCTCTGAGTTCTACAATGGTCGTTGTTACGTCTTTAGGAGCATTTATCCCCAAAGGTAGCTCAAGGTTTATTAAATAAGATACATAAAAATATTACCCGTACGTCCTAGGCCGTCCATATTATTCTCATTCATTTAGATGTAGAGTCCTACATTTAAACCGTCCGGGCAAAGAGGGACCTAACAGAAGCAGGTAAGGGTGGGAAGAAGTTGACGCCCCAGTAACCAGAACAATTTTAGACTTGCCGGACGGCGGCAGAGGCGGGAGGGGAGTTCAAGAGTAGATCATTGTTGCAGCAGAGACCCACACCTTCCTGGTCTGGAGGGTGGAGCAGCCGCAGGTAGGAGTATAGGTTTGGCGTTAGAAGTTGAGGGCGTGCCTGCCCGACCTCATTTTGTGCGAGAGGCCAAAGAAAGGACAGAGTGCTTGGCAAAGTAAGGGGGTAGGAAACGCCTGAAAGCAAGTGAAACATTCCTAACTCTTCCATGGTTGGTTGTGGGTGGATGGGGTTTTATCTCTACAAAGCTCGGAGGAAGCGGAGAATCTGGCCCGCAGAGGGCGCAAGAACCACGTACCCAGACCGCTGGGAGAAGGGAGAAGCCGGGTGTAGAGATTAGAGGCCGCCAGGACCTAGAGAGTAGGTGGAGGCGTGGCAGCTGTGGAAATGGAGAGGGGAGTTGTGTGTAATACCCCTGAGAGGTGGGACTTCTAGTGCAGCACTGGGTGGGTTCAGGGACCGTCGGCGATGGACAGACCACAGGGAGGTGGGATATAGGTGGAGCGTTTGAGTAAGGGGCGGAACATGGGCGTGGTGCAGCGGGATTCGCCGCCGAAGGATGGGCGAGAGGCGTGGTCTGAGCAAGGTGGGGAGCCGCAAGCGCTCGGGTGGGCCTGCCCCGCCCACGTCACTCTGGGTCCCACCTCTTTTCCGGCCAGGAGAGTTTCTGCGTGTACTTGGGTATCGGTGTGTACCACGGTTTTGTGGGTCTTGGGTTGCCATGTTGGAGCCCCTCCGGCCGAGGTTCCCGCGTGAAAGAGGCTGAGCCGCGGTGCTGCGTTCTGCGGAGTTGTGCACTCTCTGAGCCCTCGGTATCTAAACGAGTCCCCGGGGAAGATCAGCCTGCAGCTTTCCCGACGGACTCCTCTAGAGGGTCGTTTCGGTCTACAAATGTTCAAGTTTCTAGTTTCTCCTTCGGCTCCTCCCCGATTCCCTCCCCCACGGCGTTCCCAGCCTGGCGCGCTCCCGGAGCCCACCCCTCTTTTAGGCGCCAGGCCCCGCCCCCCGCCCCCTTTCCTCTGCCTCAAAGTTTATTTGCAACAAAAGGGTGCAGAGAGCGAGCAGCCTAGGGGGAGGGAGAGGGACCTGGAGCGGGAGCTCGAGGGGAGGCAGGCCGGCAGCCGGGCTTCGCAGGCGGACTTTAGGTGCAGGAACCAAGCCTTGGCCCCTCTCCGGCCGGGCCGCGATGCCCCTGGCCGTCCCCGCAGAGGCTAAGGCTGGGCCTGGGGTCGCCGCTGGGGCGAGAGGGGCCGCCCAGGATGAAGTCGCTGCTGCCCGCAGCCACAGAAACTTGATCCTCGACTGATAAACCTCTGCTCAGGTCTCCGCACCCTCCTCCCCAGCCGCCGCACGCTGCGGGTGCAGAATCCAGTCTCTCGAACCGCGACCACTGCGCGCCCTCCGAGCGGGGGTGCAGGGGGCGTTGGCCGCGGCGCCCCGAGGCCAGCCCCCCCGGAGTGACTGCCACCACCATGGCGGACGGATCACCTCGGCCCCCACTTTATCGCAGCGTCTCGTTCAAACTGCTGGAGCGCTGGAGCGGCGGACCCGGGCCGAGGGAGGAGAACGTGGACACCCCTGGATTGCGGCGCCGAGCTTCGTGCCGGCCAGCCGCGGCAGTCCCGGGCCAGCCCTCCCGGCGCGTGTCCAAGCTGGCGTCGGGGCCCCCGGCCGCCCCCGCGCAGCCGCGCCCGCTCCGCAGCCTCTCGCCATCGGTGCGCCAGCTCTCCCGGCGCTTCGACGCGGCGCGTTCGGACGACGACTCCGCTGGTGCCCGGGACGAGGGCTGCTCCCCCGGCACCACAGAAGAAGCAGCTGAAGGCACTGAGCGTGGGGCCTGGCCCAGCGTCACCGAGATGCGCAAACTCTTCGGCGGCCCGAGCTCCAGGCGACCCAGTGTGGACTCTGAGGCCCTGGGGACGATCAGCCCCGACGGAGCTTCTTGGGAGCCCCCAGCTCGCGAGCCCCGGCAGCCTCCGACTCCACCTCCTCGAACGTGCTTCCCTCTGGCTGGTTTGCGTTCGGCGCGGCCGCTGTCCGGGCCGGGGATCGAGGGGAGGCGACGTCGGCAGCAGCAGCAACAGGAGCGGGCGCAGCGTCCGGCGGATGGTTTACATTCTTGGCATAGCTTTTCCCAACCGCAGGCCGGGGCCCGGGCCTCCTCCTCCTCCATTACCTCCTCCTATCCTGTCAGCTGCAGCCGGGCTGCTAGTTCCAGCGAGGAGGAAGAGGAGGGACCGCAGCCACAGCTTGGGCCGCAGAGTCCGGCCTACATCGGCAGCCACTTTTCGGGCAGTGACGAGGACCCAGACGGTGAGGATGGCCGTCGCTGGCGAGGGAGAGGGTTGAGGTCCGGAAGCGCTCTGTTGGTTCATGGCTGCAGCCAGGACAGTGACGAGCTAAATTCGGGCGGCTTGGGATCAGCACGGGGTGTCAGGAGCCCCGAGCCTTCAACATCTCCAAGAACCTCTGTGGAGGAGGGACTCCGGGAGTGGGGTACTGGCACGCAGCCCTGCGTCCCAGGTCCCCAAGAGAGCTTAAGGCCTATGTCCGACACTGCGGGGGCTCCTTTCCGTGTGGCTAAAGTAAGCTTTCCTGCGTACCTGGCCAGTCCTGCTGGCTCCCGAGGTAGCAGTCGCTATTCTAGCACTGAGACCCTCAAGGATGATGAACTGTGGTCTAGCCGCAGTTCTGTGAGCTGGGGTGTGTATCGCTCCCCAAGTTTTGGTACAGAAGGCCTCCTTCTGCGACCCCAGACTAGGTCCCGCACTAAGGGACCTGTAGGCACCACCAGGCCACTGAGGGATGGGGGATTGGAGCTAGACAAGAACCGACAGCGCAAGTCACTATCGAATCCAGATATCGCCTCCGAGACCCTGACGCTGCTCAGTTTTCTGCGCTCAGACCTTTCAGAGCTGAGGGTTCGAAAGCCCAGTGGGGGCCCTGGGAACAGTCCCCTCGATGACAGAGACTCACCATCAGCACGTAGCCCAGTGGAGCAACTCGAGTCCATGCCGCCTCAAAGTCCAGCATCACCCACTACTAGACCCACCCTCAAGGACCTGACAGCCACCCTGCGCAGGGCAAAGTCATTCAGCTGCTCGGAGAAGCCCATGGCTCGACGCCTGCTCCGCACCAGTGTGTTGAAGCCCAGCTCCTCCGAGCTCCTACTGGCAGGCTCTGGGGCAGAGGAGGATCCGTTGCCGCTCGTGGTCCAGGATCAGTATGTGCAGGAGGCCCGTCAGGTTTTTGAGAAGATCCAGCGTATGGGTGCACAGCAGGATGAAGGAAGTGATGTCCGACCTAGAAGCCCTGGTGTAGCAGGTGACATGACCCAAGGGCAGCGGTCTCAGGAGGAGCTCTCTGGCCCTGAGTCCAGCCTGACAGATGAGGGCATTGGCGCAGACCCTGAGCCTCTTGGTGCTGCCTTTTGCAGCCTAGATCCTTCAGGGGTATGGCGACCTCGTTCCTCAACCTCAGCTCAGACTAACCACCTCCGTGGGGTTGGGGCAGAAGACGGTCTGGGTGGGAGGGCCCTTGTGTCTCCCGAGACCCCTTCAACACCAGGTGCTCTCCGCAGGAGACGCAAACTCCCACCCTCAGGCCCTAGTGGAACTGAACTAAGCAACGGAGAGGCAAGTGAGGCCTACAGATCCCTGAGTGACCCTATTCCACAGTGTCACCGGGCGGCCACCTCTGAGGAGCCCTCTGGGTTCTCTGTAGACAGCAACCTTCTGGGCTCACTGAGCTCTAAGACAGGGCTTCCAGCAACCCCAACTACGGATGAGGGCCTGACCAGTGGCCACAGTGACTGGTCTGTGGTTAGTGAAGAGAACAAGGACTATCAGGAAGTCCTTCAGAGTATTGTTCAGGGGCCTGGTGCCTTGGGGCGCATGGGAGAAGACAGGATTGCTGGCAAGACCCCTAAGAAGAAATCTCTGAGTGACCCAAGTCGCCGTGGGGGGTTGGCTGGGCCTGAATTTGAGGGCCCAGGAGGGGAGCCCATTCGAGAAGTGGAGCCCGTGCTACCTCCATCCAGCAGTGAACCTATCCTTGCAGAGCCTCGGGCAGAGACCGAAGACCCTGGTCCTGCCAGGGGTAGGACACAGTCAGAGAGGGCCCTACCTGCCCCACCTGCCACCTCCGCGGCCCACCAGGACTTCCATCTTGCCAATGTTCTCTCCCCTCGGCTCACCCGCCGAGGTTCCAAGAAGCGCCCAGCCCGGAGCAGTCACCAGGAACTTCGGAGAACGGAGGACATCCAAGACCAAAATGGTAGCCTGACACAGGCCCGGTCTTCCTCCAAACATGTTCGCCATGCCAGCGTGCCTGCTACCTTCACGCCTATTGTGGTGCCTGAGCCAGGGACTTCTGTAGGACCCCCCGTGGCTGTGCCAGAGCCTGTGGACTTCCCCACTGGAGCTCATCCCACACTGCAGGCACCATCACTTGAAGACGTCACGAAGCAGTACATGCTGACCCTTGGCTCTGGTGATGTTCCTGCCCCAGGTCCTGTGGACCTACCCTGCTTGCCTTCCCCTACACCGCCCTCTGCTGAGACTAAGCCCCCGGGAGCTGCCAGGGTCCCAGATGAGCCTGCCCCAGTGAACAAAGGCTTTAGCAAGCCGCAAGTGGTAAGTCTTTTGGAGAGAAGATTTGGAGGAGGGCACAGGAGAGCCATGGCCACCAACTTGACAGGAGCTTTTGTGTGTACTCAGTGGGCAGATGCCAGGCCCAGAGGTGCTTATCTATCCTGGAGTAATGTTAATGGCTGTCACTGGGCTTCTGTTAATCCGGGTTCTAAAGACACTTCAGGATGCTGCTAGTGTCAAAGGGTCCGTCTGCCTCAGGGTGTTCTGGTGGTGACTGCAGTGGTCCTTGGAATGTTTCTCAGGACTTGAGCCTCCCATGGTTCTTTGTTGTAAACACACTGGAAGTCTGGGAGAGGGTGATGACGTTCCGCCAAGGCTGCGGCCTCGGTGCCCAGCTCTTCAACGATCTCATTTCAGGTCACAGTTAACAAGCTCTTGCCTTTACGTCTGTTCCGAGGCCTGGGGGACTTAGAGGGGCGCTGGCCTCACTTTGTGGAACAGCAGCCGGTATCAGGGATTCCATCTCCGGTCTTGCTCTAGTTTTCTGGCCTTTCTTGTGACTTAACCTCCCTATCTAAAACTGGGTTTGAGGGGTGTGGATGAAGCACTTTCCACGCAGGTGCTACTCAGAACTGGGAGATGCTTTGTGAGTTTGGGTAGTATATGGGACCAACGCCAACACACCCTCCTTCAGTTAGAGGCGCTTCGAGCTAGAGTAGTTAGGGAAGTGTGGTGATCGGCAGGTTTCGGCTGAGGCTCAGCAGCGAAGCCCCCTCAGAGGGATTGAGAGCAGTTCTGGTTCTTGTAGACAGGGTTGCCTGGGTGAGTGGGTGCCCGGGTTCCTCATCCTGCCTGTCTGCCCCATTCACCTCGCCACCCCTTTCCTGTTGATCCCAGGCCTCAGGGTCTTGTTTCCACCGTCCACAAAGCTCTCACTTCTCTTGCCTCAGCTAGACCTAAGTTTTGGCTACGGATTCACACTGGCTCTAGGCAACATCTACCCTGGCACGGGAGCCTTGCAACTTGATTTGCAGCTTTGGGCTGGAAGCTGAGCTCAGGGATGGCCTGGGGTTATGTCAACTGCGGCCTGCCTCAGCTACCACTGTGTGTTGCTGACTTCAGAAGCTGGGAAACCCTACACCCTGGACTAATTTGGTCACTTGGCTTCCCAGAGCTCTTAAGGGCCCCTCCAACTCCCTGTCTCTCTTTCTCTCCCCTCCTTTTTTTTTTTCCTCTGTCATGGCTCTGCTCTTCCTGATGGAGGCCGCCAGGATGGACAGACAGAGAGTGGGCAGAGGGGACCTTTGGGCCTGGCTTTTCTTCTGAGACCCCATTAGGGAAGCCTGAGCACCAGAGCCAGTTCTATGCTTGGAGGATGGGGGAAGGGAGTCCCAGCTTCCTTTTCCAGGTAATGGTTTCCTATGAAAGTATAGTGAGAGTTGAGAGGCACCCAGGGAGTTAGGGAGCCTAGCGGGCAGGCAGAGGAAGGTTTCCTAGGACTGGCTTCTGTTGCCCCCCCTTCACATTCCCGGGAGCTGTGATAGGGAACAGTCCTCTCATACAGGCTTCTCCTGTCCCTGAAAGAGGCTCCTCTGACATTTCAGCTCCTCCCACGTCTCCAGGCCCAGCTGGATGTCCCCTCTCACCCTTAGAAGAGAGAAGGCTGAGCCTGTAATTAGACGAGCCAGACTGGAGATCCCCAGGACCTGCCCCATCCCTGTGTGTGGACTGCTCTCCCTTTCTGTAAAATGCAGATAATGGGCTCTGCCCAGAAGGCTCTGTAGGTGGGTGTGACCGTTCCCTCCCTGGGGCAGGAGAGAGGACGGAACAGGCTCTGCTGCCTCTGCTGCTTCTCTGTGACCAGGCTTGGCTTCCTCCTCCCCCACCACTGTGGAAGCACAGGTCTCAGTGTCACCTGTGGACTTCACCAAGCTCAGGAAACATCTGCTGTGCCTCACTCCCCACCCCCTCATTAAGCCTGGAAGTTCTTCCATCTGCTACCTTGAATTTCTTCTTGCTTTCCCTTCCCTTCTGGCTTCAGAAAGATGGGGAGCATCTGTCCACTCCCCCCTTCCTGCTGGCTTCTCTTGAGCAGACAATGTTCCCTTGTCTCAGGCTTGGGGCTCTAGTCACGATCAATCCCTGAACTGTGGGTGGAGGTGGTGTGGCCTGGCCTTCAGAGTAAAGAGGAGACGAGAGAGGGTTTGTCATGTTCTGCTTGCGGAGCAAAACCCAGTGTAAGAGGAGAGAATGGGGGTCTCAGGGAAGCCCAACTTGATCTTGAGTAGAGGGGAGTCCGTGGCATTCAAGTCGTTCCTTGTGTCTCTGCACATCTGAAGAGGCAGAAAGCTTAGGTCCCAGGAGTCCCAGGGGTCTCAGGGGTCCCAGGCACTGCTTAGCCTCTGACTGACTCTATGTAGACCCGGACAGTCATCTTTGCATTGGGGAATTGGGCAGCCTGATCTTTGAGGTTCTGTGAGAGGGGTTCATTCTGCAGTCTGTCTGAGGGAATGGAGCAGGGAGTCAGTGTGCCTCGAAGGGAGAGAGAGTCTGCTCTCTGTGTACTGTGAGTGAGCGGCAGCTCACCTCGTGGTCACCAAGGCTGTGCTGCATGGGCCTTTCTCCTTACCCCAGCCCTCTGGTTTTTTTCCCGTTAGGTTCATAGCTGCCTTTATGTTGTCCACAGACCATCCTACACACCAAGGCATTCCTCTACGGGGCTTCCGAGTAATCTTATATAGTTTTTTTCCCCTGCCCCTTGACATTTGTACCATCTGTAGCCCAGAAACAGGAAGTGATTTGTCTCTGAGAATTGTAGATGGCTAAATTCATGAGACTTTGACATTTAAATAGCTGTAAGGGTGGCTGTTGTTCATTCTGTCTCAGTTTTTTATGGCAGACGCGGATGATGTCTTGTCATGGGAAAGAATAGATATCTTACTGTTGGAGTCACCCTGCATCCTAGTTTATCAGTGTCTTAAAGAAAAGGGATCAAGGGGCTGTAGCCAGTTTGCAAGTGAGACTGGCCTGCCCACTGAGAAGGGCCATAAGCCAGGGACAGTTGAGGCATCACTTACAAGTTGCACTTTAACAGCCTGAGGGTGTTCGTGGTGGTGTTTAATTCACTCGTGCCTAGTGTGGGTTAGGAAGAACTCTGAGGCCCAGAAGAGGAAAATGCTGAGCCCAAGGTCACACAATAAGGCTAGGCAGAGCTGGACCCACGCCCTAGAACTGCTGGCCTTCCTCTCCCACTCACCAGCAGCCCTGGCACCCCACGAAGCCTGCCCAGCTGCCCCGCTTCCTTCTGCGGGCCTGGGCTGCAGCTATCCCCACCGCTTTTGTCTGGCTGGCTCCCCTTGGCAGGGACTGGCGGAGGCAAGTTTCCCTCCTGCCCCTCCTTGGCTCTTTTCTGTGTTACCCCCACCCCCACCCCCATGGAAACTGCTTCTGTGGGGAGGGGATGAAGTGGTTAGGACATTTGGAATTCTGAGCAGTACCGAATATCTGTAATTAATGTCTTGTCACCCAGCAGGAGGGTGGGATGGGGGAGGACAGGCAGAAGGGTTGTCCCCTTCTTTCCTGGGACCCTGTGGTATTGGGGGAGGGGGTGCTCTCCAGGAATGAGTCCACCCATCAGGGAACAGTTGGGGGAGGGACCAGAGCTGAGTGTGACATTTTCCAGCCCAACATTTCCGGGACCAGCTGGATTTGAGACATTGCAGCTAATCCTGTCCCCAGCCCCCTCTCCAATGTAGGGACTTATCCCTCCTGCTTCCCTCCCATCTGATTGTTAGGGCTGCACATGGTGCGCAGCAGTGGGTGGCGCCATCCATCCCTGCGAGGCCTGGGAGCTGGGACACTCATCTGAGTATGGTCTTGAAGGAGCTTAGAATGTTAAGTCTGCAGACTGGCAGGGGAGGCTTCCTGGAGGTCCCGACCCTCAGCCTGCATGGAGGCCTGGAAAGCTGGGAGAGAGGCAGGGCTTCGGGGAGGGCATCCCCTGAGCAGAGGCTGGGAGGAAGCCTTCCCAGGCAGGCTGTTGCAGTAAAAGTTTGATTTTTAACATCCATGCACCGAACAGATGACTTCCCAAGTAACCGGTCGCTGGGTCAGGCAGCACTCTAGAGTGGAAAGACAGCAGCTCAGAGGCCGCTCTTAAGGACCTTCCAGACTGGTGAAGACACGTGTCTGCAAAGGAGGACACTGTCAGGGAACAGAAGGTTCGGGGGAGAAAATGGAACAGGGTAAAAGAGTTAAGATGACAGGCCTGGGTACTATTTTAGATCATGGGGTCTGGAGAGGCCTGTGAGAGGCGGCGGTGGTGCCCAGAAGAAGTGAGGGAGAGGCAGGTAGCAGGAAGAAAGGAAGGGCAAAGGCAAAGGCCCTGGGGTGAGAGGAATGGATAGTGGGGTAGAGCTGTGTGGCAGGAGGTCAGAGGTCAGCGAGTGAAAGGTAGGTCTTGTAGGCCGGTGGGAGGACTTGGCATCTACCTGAAGTGAGAGCTAGGCACTGTCGGGGCTCTGAGAAAAATAATGACCCAAGCTGCTGTGTGGGACTTGTGAAGCCAGCCGGCAGAGATGTGGAGGGGGGTGTGTCACCTGAAGCCCAAGGAGTCTAGACATCTAGTACCCATGTGAGAAAGGCCTACTACCTGCTGGATGTGGTGGCACACACCTTTTATGCCAGCACTTGGGAGGCACAGATCTCTGTGAGTTCAAGGGCAGCCTGGTCTACATAGTGAGTCCTAGCTAGACAGGGCTATATAGTAAGACCCTGTTTCAAAGAAAGAAAAAGACGCCACTACCCCCTACTCCAGCAGCTGACTAAGTGGGAGAGGGGTCATGGAGGAGGGTGAATGACAGAGTGTCTGCTGCCCTGTGTGTGTTGGGGGAGGTGGCTTAGCTCAAAAAGGGTAGAGAGGAGCACCTTGGGCCCCAGTGTTTCCTATGTAGCCACTGTGACCCCTTCCCAGCTCTAACCTGTGTCTCCTGGAGCTTGTGCCGCAGCAGCCCTGGCGTCCCATCTCCTCTTAGGCTTGGCGA